AACTTGCATAAATGTTGCATTTAGGGATGCACACTACCAGAACATTAATTTGGTGCGAGACTTTGCCTTACTTACAGATAAAATTCTTTGAGGCAAGTTTCGTAATCTTTGATCATCTATGTTTTATGTTAAGAAAGGTTTGAATAGTGCAGTTCTGTCTATGGAACATTCGTTGCAATCTAATCTGTATGACTCTTTATTAAAAATTAAAATGTAATTATTGTAAGTACAAAAAATAACTGTGAATTCAAAATCTAGTGTAACAGAGTCAATAAAACAAACTTTATCATAGACGTGTAAGAGTTAAAGAAAGGATGGATCAGCAGAAGAAATCAAGATTATAACCCCAAAATCCAGTGAATTGGGAGTAATAAAGCAAACTTTGTAAAAAAAAAAAAAAAAAAAAAAAAAAAAAAAAAAAATGTAAAACTCGGGGGAAGTTTGGACTAAGACTAGAGGGAAGTTTTGTTTCTATGTACTTTTTAATTAATACTCTTATGTGATTAAATCAAACGTACATGCGACAGGAAATATTGTAACGAGTTTCCTGCGTATCATCAAATGACCTTGTAACAGACGATAAAGTGAAAAAAAATTATCAGAATATTTTTTCCTAACATATTTACAGTTACGGATAGCACTAGTTCACAGTGTGAATTTTTAACAAGCCTAAAAAAAATATGGTCGTTCTCGGTAGTGATTTTTTTTTTCTTTTCTTTTCATTTTTGCACACATGAATTGTTTTAAAGGCATACAAAAATCGAGTAGATGCAATTCTTTATGTAATTCCTTCTAGAATGATTCACTAATGTTTCTCAATACTTTGAGTACATACATATTATTAAAACCTTTTTTTTTACCTAGCTTCATTTATGTCTACCAATGTTAGAATTTACAATCAAGAAAGTAACTTGTAATGAATTTAGCAATACGTTTTCTTGTGGCTATTGTTCCACTTTTGGATTGGTTTTGAATTAAATTGACATTTTCAAGTCACAAGAAGTTGGACAAAATTAGCTTACATGACATCTCAACATCGAAGTGTGGAAGTCTTGTATGCACCATACATGTGTAGTTGTTTATATCTGTCGTGATAAACGTGCAATAAAAAAAAACTTTAACCCCTCAACAAACATTTCCGATAGATTAAGTTCATTGTCGATAAAGTAAACGCTGTTTTCAGCGATAAAGCCACCTTGACCCACGCGAAATGAACACTAGTAGTCTTCAATATATGACGTCTGAAATTTACGTGCGAGATGTTTGTAAGAACGTGTTAAAACGTTCGATGTTTGTCCAGAAGACTTAACAGAGAGTAACATGATTATTTATTGAAAGGTGTTGATATTTTATCAATTAAATTACTGTCTCCAAAATAATGTTTGCGTCATCACAAATGTGAAAATCATGTAAAAGCGGATTAAGACCCCCATGTACGTGAGTTTGCATTTAGATGCATTTGGACTCAGACTTTTCTCCTTTGTCATTCTCAAAACCAATATTAAAAAAATAAAAGGGTTAACTTAGGTATAAACGTACTTTATCCGTGTCAAGGCCTTGCCTCCACAAACAAATTTAACGTTTCTCTGAAAAAATTGTCTCGAAGATGACCTCTCACCGTAAGTGACAAGTTTCTCTCATAGAAAAACAAGTCTATTGGGCAAGTCAGACATGTTAAGCCGACTGATCGGCGATTCCCTTCAAAAAGCTAAACAAGGCAATTATTTCAGTGTTTTATTCTCTCTCTCTCTCTCTCTCTCTCTCTCTCTCTCTCTCTCATGGATATACAACCGATATTCAGCTTAGATGAATTTAGATTTTTAAAATTATAATTTGTTTCTGTTAATATAGTCCATTGATATTGTTAACATTTCTGTATAATTGTTTATTTTTTAAATTATTTAAAATTTAAACTAGGTTATCAGTGTATAATCACAAATGCGGCTGCTATTTTTAAACACATTGTATCGATATTGATAAGATGTTGAATGGTTTTTTTTTTTTTTTTTTAAATATTGTTATGTGACTATATTTGATTTTGTCGACATGAATGCAGAAATGTGTAAGAATATTTAAAAAGTGAGATTTTTCGACAAATTAATATTTTTCACTCAAGAGATCAGTCTGAATTTATTTCCATATAAGAATGATAATATAAATATATTGAAAGCGAATTCTAATATATTGAATCAATTTCTTATTTTGTTGCACTCCTGTTGTTAATAGATAAGACTGCAATTGTTAACATACCGACAGTTTACATATTGTTTATAAATTTTGACAAATGTAACCACTAATGTGTTCATAAATAAATTGTAAAATCGGTTTATTAAAATAGTCTCCATAATGGAGTAAACGAATTATAATACATCTATTCCTGTCATTACGAGGACTATAAAAACGGGGGGGGGGGCGTAATAGAACAAAACATTGTTGTCTAAGATGGACATACAGGAACCATTAGCGGGGGAACGGAGATATGCTTTCATTGTACAACTAATATCAGAAACCCATCTTCGGAACTAAAGCATAAATTTGACCTTATATATAAAACAATCTCATAAAACAAAAACGTAAACTTAAAACTCTATAAAACAAATGATTCCATGCGCATCGATCAAAATCCCACCCTCTCAAATTAATTAAATAAATAAATAAATAAATAATGAAATTAAAAGGTTCGATACTGGAACATTACAGATCTTGCAGATGTTTAATATCATGCCAGTCTTGTCAGTAACCTTTACAAATCGATGACGATAGACGTTGTAAACTTCACAAGTCGTACCTGGGACAATTGTATGTCGTAAAGGCACTTATCTGGCAGGTACCCCCTGCACATTATTAAGAACATTTTATGGAGTGAACGACATCAGATTTGTATTGACTTGAACAATCTATCAACATTGTTAACGTCAGACATTCAGAAAACACAGCCAAAATTAATATGTTTTTAAGTGAATTATAAAATTGACAAATATATATGTCAAGTGTTAGGAGCGCTTCTATGTACATACAAGACGTCAAAAGGAGAGAAAATTTATTATTTACTACCTGTATATCAGTAATTAGTTATTGAATAGATTTTTAAAAGGTAAAAATTTTATGTACACTTTTTTTTTAAAATTACACCTAGTGGCAAGTACAAAAATCAATTTACTTCCGTTGTACAAAAACTTCTCTGTATGGTAAGTATAATCTCGTACAGTAAATGGACTTTCAGCTCGTCTTTAGGTCGATAACCAGGAGTATGCATTTGCTTTACTTATTGATCACTCTCATTAATAATTATCCCTTCTAAACTATTATATCATAACTACTACCTGTATTATTACATTGCTAAAATCAACAAATATAAGGTATTTCAAAACCTAATACAATAATTTAAGCATACAAAGACAATTCCTTCTTTATATTATAATCATTGGGATGGTCTAAACCTGTTTGAAGCCTAATTACTATAGAAATTTATTTCCTATAAAGAGAATGAAAATCTCATTCGCGATTGCCCAGCAATTTATTTGAATGTCCACTCATATATTCCATATACATGTAGTTAACTTTATTACATCCGGGTTCTTAATATAGACTGAAGCGTTTATTTATATCTGTCCATTACAGAGTTATATATCCCGGCCTTGACTTCAAGTAATTATTTTATATATAATAATCTGTCATATATTTAATCATGTTAAATCTAACTTTATGAAAATGAATTAATGAAAATATGATATGGTTTCTTGAATTTTCTTCATATATATGTTACATATTATAAGTTTGAAATATGTTCCTTGACAGTTTGTACAAGAAGTACTGAAATGTTAAAGTTTACATCCCCCTACAGGTCAGGGCATAAAACGCTTGAAAAGCCCCAGGAGATATACATCTATCTCATGTCCAAACATATCTTATTATATCTAATGAAATTTTTCTGCGAAATATACGCCATTAATTTAACCAAAACATCTTTTAAAGGTTAGGGATATTAATCTTGGAAAATAGATGCTCGAGATCATGTTAATATTTCCACTTTTGATTTTCGTCCAAATTATGTCTTTTAATAGATACCACATCTTTACCGCATGCTATGTTAGAATTCAATAGCTACATATATACTTATTATGACATACCCCCTCGAATGGAGAATATCAAGTTTAATGAACTATAAAGAATTAGTGCAACATATGTTGCCAACACGAAGGAATATAAAATTCAAATGATTAAAAAAACTGAGGATCATCAAAATGTTTCTAAATATACCGTCCTTGTTTGACCGTGCCAATTACATTGCTGTATTTTCACAATACTTAATTATATCCGGGTAATAAAATTACTTGTACAAATTTAATCCTGTTAAATATGTATACCAAATGAACTTCCCTTTAAATATGAGAGCAAAATTAAAAATCGATTCATCCATGTTTAAATTTTTTGTGTAGAAAGCCGTGGTTATATTCTAAATTTTTAATTTTCTGAATGATCAAGGTATTTAACAGTCAATTCGGTGTCTTTTATGCCTTTTTTATAGGTAAAATATTCTTAGAGACTTCAATTGACACATGCAGGTAGATGTTTGAAATGTGGTTTTTCTTTTAAATAAATCCTTTTTAAGAAGCCTTTTGTGTTTCTTATTTGACCATGTGTGTAATTCTTCCCTCTTTTACAGTTCCTATCCTAATGATAACTCAACAATTACTAACGGAAAAAACTTTGATCTGATTATTGGCGACCAAAAATAAGTTTTTTTTTCTATATTTTTAGATTTGAAAAATAACATTGGATCGAGACAAGCCTGCATACCTAAGCTGTATGAGGGAGTAGCGCGCAGGGTTTAATGACAAAGTGTGACATGACAAGGGAGATATAAAAGGCTTGTCAACAGACGAGAAGTCATTTCACCGATACACGCGATCGAGGACGGATGTTTTTGAATTTACACAAATCACAGACGTTGTCATTTAAACCTCATTAAATCGCAATAAAGGAATTTTGCCATAAAAAAATTCATGTGAATATCTGCTTTAATTTGTGCAATTGTCTGTACGATTAAAGAAGTGTCAATTTGTATTTGGATGTACTTAACATGCTTTATATATAGATTCTGAAGACATTGCAGTGCCAGCACATTTTTGCAATGTAGGACTCTGGATTTGATTGAAAGTTACATATACGGAATCTACTAATTAACTCTATGACTGTAATTAAATAAATCCAGGATGCAGGACAAAATAGTGTCGTGTTTTGGGACGGGGTGTGATGAGAGATTTCAGTGTTATCAGTCAGCGGAGGACGCGAAGAAAGCCAAGCACAGGAACAAACAGATCAGCAAACTTCTGAAACAGCATCACAAAGAGGAACTCAAACGACTTAAAATACTGCTCCTAGGTAAGGGGTTCAAACTTAATACTGCTCCTAGGTAAGGGGTTCAAACTTAATACTGCTCCTAGGTAAGGGGTTCAAACTTAATACTGCTCCTAGGTAAGGAGTTCGAACTTAATACTGCTCCTAGGTTAGGGATTCAAACTCAAAATACTACTCCTAGGTAAGGGGCTCAAACTTAATACTGCTCCTAGGTAAGGGTTCAAACTTAATACTGCTCCTAGGTAAGGGGTTCAAACTTGATACTGCTCCTAGGTCAGGGGTTAAAATTTAATACCGCTCCTAGGTAAGGGGTTCAAACTTAATACTGCTCCTAGGTAAAGAGTTCAAACTTAATACTGCTCCTAGGTCAGGGGTTCAAACTTAATACTGCTCTTAGGTAAGGGGTTCAAACTTAATACTGCTCCTAGGCAAGGGGTTCAAACTTAATACTGCTCCTAGGTAAGGGGTTCAAACTCAAAATACTGCTCCTAGGTAAGGGGTTCAAACTTAATACTGCTCCTAGGTAAGGAGTTCAAACTTAATACTGCTCCTAGGTAAGGGGTTCAAACTCAAAATACTGCTCCTAGGTAAGGCGTTCAAATGTAATATCGCTCCTAGGTAAGGAGTTCAAACTTAATACTGCTCCTAGGTAAGGGGTTCAAATTCAAAGTACTGCTCCTAGATAAGGGATTCAAACTCGAAATACTGCTCCTAGGTAAGGGGTTCAAACTTAAAACTGCTACTAGTTAAGGGATTCAACTCAATATATTGCAAGTTCTTAGGTAAGGGTTCAAACTCAAAGTACTGCTTCTAGGTAAGGGGTTCAAACTTAATAGTGCTCCTAGGTAAGGAGTTCAAACTTAAAACTGCTGTTAGGTAAGGAGTTCAAACTTGATACTGCTCTTAGGTAGGGGTTCATGCTTAATACTGCTACTAGTGAAGGGGTTCAAACTCAAAATACTGCTCAAAGGTTAAATGTGCAAACTCAGTTGATACTCAGTTTATACAGATATAATGGGCTTACACTCTAAATATTGCTCCGATGCAAGGGGTTGAAACTTAAAATATTGCTCCTAAATAAGGGAATTTAAACTCAAAATACTGCTCATAGGAAAGGATTCACACTAAGAAAAAAACTGCTCTTTAAGAAGTTAAAAGGGTTTGCAATCCTAGATAAGGGGTTTAAACCTGGTATTGGGGAACTGCTCCTAGGTATAACTAAGATTCACTAAATATTACTCTTAGTAAGGGGTTCCAAGAACTTGAATACTAATATACGGGGTTCAAACTTAAATTTACTACTCCTAGTTTAACAAGATGTTAATAAGGACATATATAACTGTTACGGTATTGTAGAACACCCTACCCCCACCCCACCCCTATGTTTATTTGGTCAACTCACTTTTAAAATCGCCTCTGTGGGCCTATATTGATCCATTAAATAACACAGCCATACAACCGTTAAGCATACAATAAGATGAACTTGTACTTTTCATCTAGATGTTCACGCTTGTACCTTTGCTGAGTGCAGTTCAATAAGCACAAGGTACAAAGACCCATCTAGCTGCAATGTAAGTGGCCACTCGAAAGACATTTGTATTTTATTGATAAGCGGAATTTATGTATTTATAATAGCTTTCTATATTTGTTTTAACCGACTTAACATCCTTGTAAAAGTGCGTGCAAGTACATTGACTAAATACGTGTTATGTCGTTCATAGTTCACTTTGGAATATAAACATACTTCACGTGTTCACCATTTTGCGCACTATTGCGCAATCCTGGAACATGTTTTCAAAGGTCCTTCAGGACTTTATTCTTTGGCGATTTGAATGTCAGTTGTGTAACAACAAAATAATTGAACTTTTGAATGAAGGACTTGATAACATTTTGGAGAAAAACCAAGTGTTTACATGAGATTACAGTTATCTTCCTTGTATTGACATGCGAACTTTTCGAACAGTATAAAGGTATCAGACATCGGACCTTTATCACGAGAAGAAAGGATGAAAGATAGAATTTGTAAATGTATTTATTATACAAACTTAAAAACCTCTGTCCCACTATCGTCATCGCTTTCTTCCGGTCCGATATTCCTCTTAACAACAGGCATTATATTGGACTGACTGGTTAAAAGTCATCAAAAGATTGATGAAAAGGACTTTCTCAATCAAGAAATCAATGCCAAAGTGTTGTAATTCTTAACAAAACGAAAGTTACACAAAGGCAAACATACTTAAATGACATAACACCTTTGTCAGGTGTTAGGAATCGCCGTGACGTCAGTCAGAATTAGGTGGCATACATTAAATCTTGAACAGAACTTATGTCCAAACATAACATTTTTAGGCATTTTAAATTAATTATTCTTATTTCATGCTAATTTTAACACAAAGCAATTTCTCAACGTCGGTAATGCTACAGGTGTGAAACTGGTCCAGTTCTAATAACTCGGTTATTAATTGCACTACGCTAATTCCGTGTCCCTTTTTTGTAGTTTTTTTGTACTATGTGACATTGATAGGGAGATAGAATCACAATTTTAAGATTTTTTTCCTGTTTTTGACATTTCAGGCACTGGTGAGTCAGGAAAAAGCACCATTTCAAAGCAAATGAGAATCATTCACATCAATGGATTCACAATGAGGTAACTACTGTTAAGTCTACTGGTTTCCCAGTGTGGTACAAGTTGTAACGCCCCTTTTACCACCATTAAGCTGCATAGAAATGACAATGGCTTATACTACTGATCTACAGAAAAAAAAAATGAAACACTGACCCAGCAACGAAATAAACACAGGAATCTCTACAACTAGCCATCTATCAAACTAGTTTTCCTTGATTATTTTTGGAAACAATTCCTCTTTCATTGTGGCAATCTCTGTTTCCCTCATGAAAAGTACACCAGAAACATGTATCTTTCCCTTGATTCAGTAGGTCAAAGGCTTGTACTTGTTCTAAAGCAAAATCTAATGCATGTTTTTATGTTTTACAGAGAACGACTGGAAAAAATATGTGATATCAGAAAAAACATCAAAGAATCTATTGTGGTAAGAAAATCTCTGTACATTGATTTCATTGATGCGTTCTTTGTGAATGAAATAATGTAATTGTAGCTAGCGATTGATCACAGCTAATCAATCAAGAAGATCTCTGTTAAATGTCTTCAATGTTTTCCTATAGAGATTGCTTCCTTTTATGATACCATGCTAATGCAATCAATAATGGTGATAAATATCTCTGTTTTCTCTAAATATAGGTGTTGCTTTTGGCAATGCATCAACTCGACATTCCATTGGAAAATGAAGAAAGTCAAGGAAGCCGGGACTTTATTTTGAGGGAGGCTGGCAACCCCGACCTTCACAGAACAAGTGTGAGTGATTCCCAGTAACAAACAATAAAATATATGCAAGACAGTTCGTTTGAGATTAAGAGCCATTCTCTGTAAGGACTTGAACTTTTATATAGGAGCTGTGGCACGCATAGTCTCAGAATTTCTCCAAACTCTCTATGATAAAAGTCTTTGATACCGTAAACTCAAATCAGGCAAAAATTGGTTGCTACGTGTCATGGTTACCATAGCAACATGTCCTAACGTTTGAAAAATGGCATTTTTCAACATGTTCAGAGTCCCCCAGTTAACGTTTGCAGCAAAGCAAACAAGTGGCAATGACTGTTTCTGAAAGTTGAAGGCCTGATGTCTTAAATGCATGATAAATATGTTTGGTAAATCAACTATTACATATGTTACTATGGAAACAAAGTATTCAAAAGTAATAATTTTGTTCATTTAATTTTATAAAGTCATATACTTAAGAATAAAAACAATTATAGGTTGAAATGCAAGCAAACAATAGACACGAGATCCTTGTAACATATACCAAGGACGAAATATGATATTTCTTATAGGTTGGCAACGGTTGCTATGGTTTATTTACCTCGAAAGGATTTTAAATTTACTCTCTTAGTGTTTTAATCTTATCCTATCTTTTTAAAAAGCATATTTCTATATAACTGATGATCAATTTTTAAAGGCATTGGTGTGACCCTAATTTTCGAATTTCAAAAAATTCAAACCCAATTCTTTAAATAGAGCGTTGCTATGGAAATTAGCCGAAAAAATATGCATAAAAATCTGAAAAATACTCCGTTTCCTTGGATACGCACCCTTGTAAGTACATTCCCAAAACTTTTATGATTGATATATATGAACAACTAACCTGACTTTGAATTTTGACTACCACCCAATCTCTAACTGGATGCAAAAAGCTGGCACATAGGGTTTAATATTGATATAAAATTAACAAAATTGAACATTTTCCCTTCTTGGTAACCATAGCAACAGTGTTGTATTTTTCAACAAACTTTATCAATATATGATATTCAACTTTAGTTCTACCAGATAAGTAGTATTCAAGGTGAGTCAAATAATATGTTTCTTGATTAAAAGGTAAGTAAATTCCTAAAGGAGCAAAAAATATCACTTTAAACGACTGATACGTTGTTTCCATGGTTACAATGCAAAGTAACATTTAATCCCAATTTTTCTTATGTTGTCGGTGTTGCAAGGTTCCAAGGATGCATAAGTGTTAGTCATGAATTTTATTGTTTTTCCTCAAGATAGTAGCATTAACCCAATCATAGCAACAGATTTTGCATGGTTACGCTGTGTTACCATGGCAACCATGAAAGTTATATTTAGAATAATATTGCCAATACCTAATTACATAAGGTCAAATATTTTTTATTGTTTTTCTTAGGTTGTTGATTGAGTTTGATCATGTAACATCTATCATTGGTGAATATTGAGCATTTTTCAGCATTTTTCAGCATCTAGAATGTATTCCAAATGTACCCATGGTTACCACTTACTAAGAGATAAATTCTAAATAGTTTCTTTATAGCATAAGTGGCAACAAGGTGTTATGTTTTTGGGAGAATGGTTTGTTTGTTTTTCTTAGTCTTTATTAAGGCGTAATAAAGATTCAAAGTAGCTGAAAATCTCAATTTTTTCAACTTTTCTGGCTGTTACCATGGCAACCAAGACACATAGCAACGGAATTTTATTTAATATATGTTTCTGGTGTCAAGTTGTAATAATGGGCAAAGTTTCATCAAAATCGGTGACCATGCGTGGCAAAGAAGTTTAAGTGGTTACAGAGAATCGCTATTAACATTTAAAAGAAAAAAAGAAAAAAATCAGCTAAGATTTTCTTTTCTATTAATAGGAATTCCTGGACCACACAGAGACGCTGTGGGCGGATACAGGGGTACAGACCTGTTACAGTCGATCACACGAGTTCCAGCTGATCGACTGTGCTAAATAGTACGTAACACAGTTCTAGGTCTCTATCCAGAGAGTTCGTGGGCAGAATCTGTCACTTCATTGAAAACTAACATGACCTCTTTCAACAATTACTCTCAATACTGACATGTTTTCAACCAAATTAATATTTTAACACTTAGTTAACAAGTGCATTTCAATTGTTTTTAGTTTCCTGGATAAACTCCATGAAATCAAAAGTCCCGCTTACGTTCCCTCAGACCAGGATATTTTGAGGTGCCGCTGTGTCACCACCTCTATTCAGCACATCGAGTTTGAGGTCCCAGATGGAGGGAACCAAATTAAATTTAATGTGTACGATGTCGGTGGACAGCAAGGAGAACGCAAGAAGTGGATCCAAGTGTTTGATAGTGTGACCGCCATTCTTTTCGTTGTGGACTGTAGCAGTTTCGATCAAACACTTCGTGAGGATCCAACTAAAAATAGACTTTTAGAAGCTTTGGAGAACTTTGACCAAGTTTGGAACAATAGATTTCTTCGATACGTGTCTGTGCTTCTTTTCATCAACAAAATTGACATTTTAGCTGAAAAGATTGCCAGAAGACGCGATATCTCAGAACTCACGAAAAAGTACCCCGATATCTTCCCAGATTTCGACAAATTTAATCCCTCAAGTAACTATCCTTTTATAAAATACTTATACAGCTTTTGTCTTCGAACAATACTGTCTGTGTTTTAATTTTGATTTTTCATGTTCTTTTTTTTTTACTTCCAGATGCCGAAAAACTGCAGTTCCTAGAAGCTTTTCCATCCACCGATTCCGAGCCAAGGAAAAAATCCCGCACAACGTCTCGTCCCGATGTCCATCCCGATACCGTTAAAACAGCTGTCTACATTAAACATCTATTTATGGTAGGTTCATTGTTGTGATTGATAAAGAGTTTTACCTGAGTACAAGGAAATTATATCAGTCGTTAAGGAGAATGGTTCGTTTCCTGTTGTAGTCTTCTAGTTCGTTCTTGTATGTTCTGTACATCTATGCCATTTAAACATTTAATCGGCTTGTTATCTAAAAGCTAATTTTATCCTTTTCCAGAAAATCGTGAAAGGAGAACTCAACCTGAAAAAAAGAATTTCAAAGCAGGAAAGAAACTGGCACGATGAACATAGCTGTGAATATTTCTACACATGCGCAATTGACACAAATAATGTTCAGCGTGTGATGAATGGCTGCCGAACACTCATTATACAAAATCACCTGAGAAGATTCGGTATTATTTGATTTACATTATACGTTACATTTCAGATGAAACTGGTATCAATTCTTCCGACTTTGTGATAATAACTCTAGTCAGACGGTGAAATTGTGACTGTCCTGCCAATACTCAGACAGCTTGTTCCAGAGGAGGTTTTATATACGGCGGAAATGACGTTATTATGACGTAATTTGCGTCATCAATATACCCAGATTTATGTATATCTCATGAGATCCTGTCTTACGGAGACTGAGAACTATTTCAATATGTCTCCTCTTCCGTTTATATTTTACTATATTAATATTTTAACAGTGATAATATATATATTATAAGAGTCTTTCTATATCCATACACGTATGTACATGTATACAGTGTAAATATAATTGGTTTTCAGATGATTATTTTCAGACATTTTATGATCATGTTACGCTGTTTTAATAAAATAATAAAATATTGGTCCTTTGAATTTTAATTCCTGAAGAATCTTTTCTTGACTAATATAAATGGTTCAGCGCATAAACACATGTATAGTGTTCGTTTTGTTCCATGGGACAATCATTACTAGTGATACGAAAATATATGTTCTTCCAAGAAGAGTGGATATACATATTTGAGGAAAATCGAAAATGCCTCTGTATGGAGCTATAAACTGTGATCGATTTAGCTATTAATGGGCAGGCAGCTGTTGGTGCTATCTGATAGCATCGCGCATACATTAAATTTATTTTTTCACACTAGTGAAGCAGATACATGTATAAACTTATTTCAACTACTTTAATCTTATCAAAATATAAACATGATAATGATTTTTGTATTATCATCCAGGTTTTATGTACCAAAACACAAATTAATTATACGACTCTGGGGTAAATAGGCGGGGGGGGGGGGGGGGCTATTTTGCAGAAGTGTCAGTAGGAGTTCGCTTGATTTTAAAAGGAAGCTTGCTTGGTTTAAAATGAATAAATTATTCATAAATCCGATTCATTCTTCCTAAGTTGATATGGATTTTACCAGGAATAATACAAAATGTAGTACAATGGTCATTCGATATGTTTGTAGGCACGGCATCCTTAATACCTACTGCAGCAAAAATTAAAACTCTCTGACTTACGGGACGACCATTTAATTCTGAGGAGGGGGGGGGGGCAGATTTTGGAAACAATCTGTCCTCGAAAATGTTGACAATAAATAATCTGTCCTCAGCTGGAGCTTCTACTCCTCCACCTACTCTCGCCCGCACCCAGCCATTTTCTGATCAACCGCTGTCCGGCGTTCTGTAAACTTTACATATTTTCGACTTCTTAATTCTCAAGAACCACTGGGCCAAATTTGACCAAATTTAACCCAAAAGCATCCTTGGGCAAAGGGAATTCTAATTTTTTTAATTGAAGGACGCCCCCTTCAAAGAGGAGATAATTAGGAAAAGGCGAAAACAAGTTAGGTTTCTGAGGTAGCGAAGATTTGTTCAGATCATGGTCCCGGGGATAGGGTAGGGTCATAAAAGGGGACCATAATTTTACAGTGTAATATGAGTGAAAAAATCTTTTTAAAACCTCTAAAGACCTCTAAAGAAAAAAACTTCTAACGAGCCACTGGATCAGAAGCAGTGAATTTTAAGTGAAAGCATCCCGAGGTAGTGTAGAGTCTGTTGTTCAAATCATGGCCCCCAAGGGCAGAGTTGGGGCACAGACTGGGATCAAAGTTTTAATATTCTATGGGAAAAAATGTTTTAAAACTTTCCAAAAACCACAATAGAACTATTAATTTGCAAACATATTCCAAAGTTGTGCGGATTCAATTTTTTTTCTCCAAATTATAGTCCCCGGGATAAAGTTGGCTAAAATCAGGATTAAATTTTTCATAATGCATGAATACAGGACAAGAATTTTCTTCTCCATAACTGCAAGGCCATGTTAATCCTGCTGATATTGAAGCATCCCCATGGTGTGTAGATTCAGAGACCTCTAAGAGTTAGGTAAGGTATAAATGATATAGATCACAATTTTTCATGGGAATATAAAAATCTTTTTTTTTTTTTTTTTTTTTTTTTTTTTAGGAATGTAATCCAAAAAGTGACTCAGTTGAGCTTTGTGGCACATGAGCCTTTTTTTATTAATTTTTTTTTCAGTGAAGAAGTAAATAAATAATCTGTCCTTGATCTTCCTGAAAATAAATGATCTGTCCTTGACTGGCATGAAAATAAATAATCTGACTCAAAAAAAATTGCCCATCAACCCCCCCCCCCCCCCGGAATCAAATGGTCGTCCCCTTGTGTACTATTTAGGTGTTGGACATATTAAATTCTGCCTAAAAGTTTTAAGAATCTAAAGCGGAAATCAGTCATTGATTTAAAATCATAGAACTTCAGCAGATAGACCATTTACGGCTTATTCTGAGAACAAAATTTTAAATTCTTTATGATACTTCTACTAAAAGAGAAATGACTCAACTCTTAGGTTCAAAAGAGGTCTATCTCATGCTCAAAGAGATAAAAGAAATATCTCCATTTTTAAAGTTGGAAAACGGCATCCTAAGGAATCAGCCAAGATCTATACACAGTATCTTTCAAGTTTCTCATTTTTTTATTCATCATTTACATCTTATAATTGCTTTGTCAGGCTCAAAATGGGAAAAACAATTCAAATAAGACCTCTGAGCATTTCTTTATTCGAGTTTAATTCGCAAACAGAAAATTGCTTCATTCTATTAAACTTTCTCCGGTATTGCTTATAATCAGGAATTGATATTATTTAAATATACTCCAGAAGTACTAGTTAAAGTCAGTTTTCAGTAAATACATTGCTTGATATAGTTACTTATGGTTTCAAAGATGATCGGGTCCCACGTTTTAAAAGAAAATAACTTGCGAGTAACACCCTAATTTTAGCTTGTTCTTTTATTTGTGATAATATTTTGCATAATGCCTTCAAAGCTGAATAAATGACATTTTCTACTTAATAAAAAAAAGGAAATTATTTTTTATCGAAGTCGATAAGTCCTTTTGTAAATCAACAGACTCTTTAATGATGGAATATTGATACAAATCAGGGCGTTTGACTGACTTCATTCTCTTCCGGGATTTTAGTAAATTTGTCAAGTGGGGGGTTGTTTTTTTTTCTTTTTTTAATTATAATAAGTACATCTATAGATGCATCAGAACTATTTAAATAGTACAAGGAAAATGCTCATCTACTTTTTAGATGTACTTAAAACTTCGTGTCATCAGATGTAAATGGATTTGGAAAAAAAGTATCGCTGCATTGCAGAGCGTGCAATTTAGTGCAGCTGTCGTGCAGTTTTTATTTTGTTGTCATTTCAATGTCAATTAATACGAACTTGTTGTATTGAGTAAGTATGCCTGTACCTAAGTTTGTATTTAGACTGAGGAAGCCACAATATATATTTAGTGAAATAAAAAGTGATGCCCTGAATATATGTTGTTAGTCATAATCATTATAAACACCTAGTATAAATCAACCCTATCATCTTTCTTTGTTATAAATATATTATTTTATTTGCTAGGACTGGTTTCTCTACGTAAACTGGGACGCGTGAATCACATTCCGTGAGGAATATTCACGCGTTTAACCCCCTCCGTCCCACACGGATAAAAAGGACGGGCCTCGGCATGGTCACAGGGACATTCATCGCATGTAACTGCTGCGGGGGTTAGATCATGTAGTTTTTCTTGACTGGGTGGTTTCATTTGTGGGATTTTACGTCCCAGACATCATTTAGCCGCCGACCTATCTGTCAAGCTTTAATCTGTGACGTTTAGGATTGGTATAAACAGGTGACAAATATTTTATTATATTCAGAGTCATGAACCTATATTTATAATTAATCGCACAGAAAAACGAACAAATTATCTTGTTAACCTGTTTACCTTTTGAGAGAACATATAATTGCAAAGAGAAAAAAAGAGAAAAATTAAATTACCTTGATTAACAAGATAATTTGTCCACTGCACATCATTATAAATTTATCCTGAAAACAAAAGATTGTCTCTTAAGGTTCATAAACCCTCTCTAACTCATATAAAACGTTGCTTTGACTCTTATGATTTTCCAAAAGAAATGTTTTTTTTAAAGTAGAATACAAACAATTATAGCATAACTTGCGGGGAAAAATAGGACAAAAAACACTTCAACTTGACAATTTTTTAATGGAATAGTAGATATTTATGTCATTAAGAGTAATCTCTCTTATCAGAGTATCGACGAACCTTAATTTTATTGCCTGCCTCTATGAGTCTCAGTACAAGATACAGGCATTTTTTTTATTGTACACTGTAATAGGGCCTATATAAACTTGGGAATTTTCAAGTGAGAAATGAATTTCGATTGTAAAAATCCATGAGATTGTAGAATGATATAGATTTTCACACTGGTTCTACATCGAATGAACCAAAGGGCTGAAAAAATGAACATGGGGGGGGGGGGGGCAACAGAGGTTAAAAGGAAGGGTGAATTGGAAAAGCATGTGAACTAGCTGTAATGAAGTCATTGTATTATACATTGGCTGTCATACTTGCTGCTGTTAACAATATTTTAGACCACGATATAAAGTATACAGAGAATAAAGTTCTGATGCGGATGATATGTAAACTACTTGGTCAAGTACTAAACAATGCATCCTTGCATCCCTGTACATTTTGCATTTTAATGATTGAACGATATCCTGTAACAACAATGATTATATCTCACACACGCTTGTTTACTCTACTTCGATTTTTTTACCTGGTAAACAATGCTGCACTCTACTGATTGGTTTCTGCAGCTGAGGAAGCAGGAAGTACTCTTGGTTCCCCCGTCCGCCAATCAGATACCGGGATATCAATTATCCAGGATCCTCATCTGTTACAATAGATTTACAGTCCCCGCTTCCTGTCAATTAAGCTTTTATTGGTTTTGCTGATGAGAGTTTGATGTTTATTGCTCATGCTACTATGGTACCAAAAGACTTGGGCGAAAGTCTGGTACAAAGAACGACAACTCTTATATACGATTGACTTCAGCATTGGGAAATTCAATACAACTCATTGAAGTCTCTAGACCCAATTATTCCCTGCAAACTCTATTATTGGAATTAATTCTGATTTTACGTTGTAGGAACCTAGAAGAAAAATATTATTCGACCAAATTAAGAAATACCTTTGTTTCCCCTAAGGCTACTCAATAAAATCGTGTCGACTGAAAGTGTTTGGTTTTTCTTTCACCAACTTGAAGTTTATTTAAATATTTTTTAAATAATCTAATGAAATCCAATTTCATCCCAAATCCGCTTTTATCAGAACGATTGTTTTCATTTTTATATGATTTTGAAGTGTTTTCTGGAAACAAAATGGCGGACAAACCATGTGTTTTCAGGAATTCAGAGAGAGAGTTTGTTTTCAAGTTTAAAACATCGACATCATGCCAGCTTTATACATGTATTCAACGTTTTTGAATTCTAC